ACATATTATGAGGAGCCCATCCTGCACAGGTGATGTACTACTGGAACAAAGAGCAAAAACGATATGAGATATTGGCATCGTATTAATATATCGGCGTCAATATCTCTTCTCTGCCATTTGCGAAGATGGCATTATCAAGTCAAATACGAGTATCACTCTAGCCTCGAGTGGTTTGGAATTCTGTCCGATATTTGGGCTGAAAAAGCTGAGGCGTGAATCATTTTATCAATGAAAATCTGCCTGTTCCATAACTCTGTCAAGTCTGTGTTGTACGGCATGGAGACCGATGTTTTCACGTAGAGACAAGGATGACGGCTGAACCGCATACAACATGCCTGACGGCTTCAACACATGATGAGAGTTAAATGGCATGACCATGTAAGGAGTGATTGCATTCACTTCCGGGTACAGATGAACTTGGCAGATGTGTAGAGAACAAGAGAAGGAGTTTTGGGCTGTCATAAAAACTAGTTCAGCTTATATAGTTTACTCCTGCCGCTGAGCTTTTTGTCTGGGAGCCGGAACACAGCAGACGTCGACCTGAAGGTCAGATTGCAACATAAGGAACAAGGTAAATGCAGATCTTATTCATTTTTTTCAGAGAGGAATATTTCATTGTGCGATGCAACAACAGTTGTCTTAATGCAAAGGTGTTGAAGAACTGCGACAGATATCACAAGCATAAAATTATGCTTACGCAAACAGCCCAAGGTGACGATCTCAACGCACACAAACCGAATTGATTCCTTGCTCAAGGGAATCACAGTTAATGAAAGCACACGTACACCGCACGCGACGTTGAGCTCGGTACCCCTAAATTTCAGAGCTAGCAATTAGCCCATTGTACCACTGCCCCCTCCCACTCCATGTTACAGCCTGCGTAGTTAATAGCTTCAACAGATTGAGAGCCATGCTTTTATAGTAGACTACGGTAAAGAGAAAATGCCCCAGTTTTAAAGCGGACGTTTAACGTACTGACGGACAAGTCAAAGTTTCTACCATATCTACCCTAAAATACTAGGATGACCTCCAAAGAGAGGAAAAACAGTGATGGGCTAGGTTACTTTCTTCGTGGCATTCAAAATGCAGCTATGGTCTGTCTCTTTTGAACTCAGAAGAACCCGCGTTGCCAATGAGGATTTGGAAGTTTTAACTAGCAGTACATTTAGCTCCTGCGGGCGAACCCTGACCACCTAATGTTTGTGCAAATGCAATATCT